GATGTGAGGCTTCAGAAAAGCAGAGGGGGCCGGGTGTGGTGGCTTATGCCTATAATTCAGGCACTTTGAGAGGCTGAGACGGGTGGATCACTTGAGGTCAGGAGTCCAAGACCAGCCTGGCCAATGAGGCAAAACCCCACCTTCACTAAAAATACAAAAATGAGCCAGGTGTGGTGGTGCGCGCCTGTAATCCCAGCTACTCAGGAGGCTGAGGCAGGAGAATTGCTTGAACCCAGGAGGCAGGGGTTGCAGTGAGCCTACTGTACTCCAGCCTGGGCAACAGAGTGAGACTCCCTCTAAAAAATAAAAAATAAAAATAAAATAAAAATAAATAAATAAAAAAGCAGAGGACTTGGGGACTGCATGGGAGACTGCCTTGCAAGGGTGCCCCCTTCATTCTTTTTATTGCTAAGGCTACTTGGCCTTAAAGCGGCTCTATTCCCTGAGCCAGCTGGGAAGGAGCCACACCTGCAGCTGGTCTCTTCCCCTTAATGAGGCAGAAGGCCAGAGGAAGCTTCCTTCCAAACCACAGAGGATGTGGGAGGCCCTGCCATCTGCTTGGGGTTACCTTTGGGGAAGTGGCTCTCAGTGTGTGGTCATTGAGGAGGTCTGTGACCCAGGCTGTCTTCCCGGATAACCGTGTCTGAGATTTCCAGTCCCACATGGGCGAGAACCGACTGAACAGTTTCCCTTCTAGGCTGTGGCTCTCTTGGGAGCCCATGCAGAGGGCGTAATAGGCCTGGTCCCAGTGGCAAAAAGCTTGAGAAATCACTAATTTGGGCCAGTTTATTCCAGAGCATTGTTTTACTTTTCGATTTCTCTAGTTTCCCCAGATTTTTGCAACAAAAGAGGATTTTTTTCACCTAGTAAATCCTGTTGGTAGGATTATGGCTATCTAGACACACAGTAAAGTGGGTTTTCAGTTTTCTTTTCTTTTTTTTTTTGTTTTTGAGACAGGGTCTCTCTCTGCTGCCCAGATTGGAGTGTAGTGGCGTGACCTCAGCTCACTGCAGCCTCGACCTTCTGGGCTCAAGTGATCCTCCCACCGCAGCCTTCTGAGTAGCTGGGACTACAGTTGAGCACCACCACGCCCAGCTGATTTTTTTTTTTTTTTTTTTAGAGATGGGGGTTTGCCATGTTACCCAGGCTGGTCTTGAACTCCTGGGTTTCAGAGATCCACCTCGGTCTCCCAAAGTGCTGGGATTACAGGAGTGAGCCACTGTGCCCGGCCGAGTTTCAGCACTTTGTATGGTAGTTATCCTGGGGCCAGAAAGGGAAGGGGCCTGAAGAGAATTTGACCAATGGGAGTCCCTCCCTGCCCTGAGCAATGTGACGGGAGAGATGAGAAATAAGCAATATTAGCCTTGCACGGTAAAACCATCCTCCCAACAGGGAGGCCTCTAGCTCTGGCCAGTCATGTCAGAAATATACCAGCTGTCAACTCCAGAGGGCTGGGAAGAAATTACTCTTGCAGCCTCCCAGCATTCACTAGAGAGTCTTTCAGATAGTAGGTACTCAAGACAAATCCGTTCACTTGAGTTTATGGAGCATTTACTCTCTTGCAGGCAAGATGCTTTCACATTTACTATTATTTAGACTTCAACCATAATTCTGAGAAGGGAGTGCTGTTAATTCCCATTTTACAGATAGGAAAATAGAGTCACAGATGTTCAACATGTCCAGAGCTAGGTAAGAAGGGATGGCTGGCTTCAGTCCTACGAAATTCTATTTTTATTTTTAATTTCTTTAGAGGCAGGTTCTGGCTCTGTGATCCAGGCCAGAGTGCAGAGGCACGATCATAGTTCACAGCAGCCTCTAACTCCCGGGCTCAATAATCCTCCGACCTCCCAAAGCGCTGGGATTATAGGCGTGAGCCACAGGGCCAGGCTGGAAGTATTATCTCGTAAATGAAGGCACATTGGATACAGAAGTAACATACAGGACAAAATACTGTTCCGTTCCCTGCACAGGTCTGCAGTTTTACTGGAAAAGCCTTTGTGACTGTTTCAATAGAACATTTGTCTCCAATTCAATGAAAGATTAAATAAGCAGTAAATTAAACTATCAGTTGATAACTACCAATTTAACTTGGAGTTCAACTGTGGAGAGTGACCATCAGAGTCAACTCAGCCTCTGATGACGTTGATCTGAAGTGGCAACTCCCAAGCTACACCCTGCCTCTTAGCAGTTGTTGTGGACCCATCTTTACAAGGCATTAAGTTGTTCATGAGAAGCAGGGTGTGCTTGCTCACACCTGTAATCCCAGCACTTTGGGAGGTTGAGCCAGGTGGAACGCTTGAGTTAGACATCAGCCTGCCCAACAAACACGGTGAAACCCCGTCTCTACTAAAAATACAAACATTAGCCACGTGTGGTGGGTATGCCTGTAATCCCAGCTAGTTGGGAGGCTGAGGCAGAAGAATCGTTTGAACGCGGGAGGTAGAGTGTGCAGTGAGCCAAGATTGCACCACTGCACTCCAGCCTGGTGACAGAGAGAGACTCCAATAAATGAATGAATGAATGAATGAACGAATGAATAAATAAATAAATAAGTCATTCATGAGAAAAACCCATCTTTCCTTACAGATCTGGAGATTAGAAGCCAAGTCAAAGTATCCATGAATCCAAGGAATGTGACCTTTCCCCAAGCTGATAGAAAGCCATTGGAGGTCTGAGCTGGGGAACAGAAGCTACCCACAGACATGGCCTGCAGGTCAGGTTCCACTGTCTTTCAAGAAGCCAGCTGCACTCCACAATCTTAGGCTTCAACGCCACAGGGCCGTGTGCTGTGTGTCTCACTGAGATAGTCAAGAATTCCAAGATGCTGTAGTGAAGGGTACATGGCCCTGTTCTCAAAATTTCTGATGTTTGTTCCTTTTTCCTTTGTGACCTTGGCTCCTAGGTGGTAGGAGGGAACAAATCTTGTTCATCCTTGTCCCCAGCACCTCACCTTCTATAATGCCTGAGACAATGCTTGTTGAATCAACCCCTTTTAAGCCAGAAAATGCTCATTAAGGCTCATTATCGGGTGAGTCACACGTTTTCTCAGCTGCTTGCCTCAGGATGCATGAAGCTTTTGTTTTCCAGATGATCCAGAGGTTTCCAGCTACAACTTAAAAAAGCACCCTTGGGTGAAAAGGTGAATAGGGACCACCCGAATGTGCCTTAGTAGGGGAATGGTTAAGTAAGGGTACACCAATGCCACAGTGCTCTTAAGCTGCAGTTCCAAAAATTTTTACATACACATACACACAGATTAAGGTAGGTCTTTATTAGCACTGAACTCCCTTCTATGTGAGGTAAAAATAGAAAGCTGCTGGCAGACTACAGGGTACCCTATTTTTCTTTAAATTATTTATTTATTTATTTATTTATTTATTTTTTTTTTTGAGACAGAGTCTTGCTTTGTCGCCCAGGCTGGAGTGCAGTGGCGCGATCTTGGCTCACTGCAAGCTCCGCCTCCCGGGTTCACGCCATTCTCCTGCCTCAGCCTCCCGAGTAGCTGGGACTACAGGCGCCCGCCGCCTCGCCCGGCTAATTTTTTGTATTTTTAGTAGAGACGGGGTTTCACTGTGTTAGCCAGGATGGTCTCGATCTCCTGACCTCGTGATCCGCCCGCCTCGGCCTCCCAAAGTGCTGGGATTACAGGCGTGAGCCACTGCGCCCGGCCTAAATTTTTTAATAGGTTAAAAAAACAAAGAGACAGGGTCTCACTATGTTGGCCTGGTTGATCTTGAAGTCCTGGCCTTAAGCAATCCTCCCACCTTGGCCTCCCAAAGTGCTAGGATTACAAGTGTAAACCACTGTGCCAAGTGTTTTTTTTTTTTTTTTTTAAAGGGATGGGGTCTCACTATGTTGCCGAGGCTGGAGTGCAGTAGCTATTCACAGGTGCAATCATGGCAAACCATAGCCCCAACCTCTTGGGCTTACGCGATGCTCCCACCCCAGCCTCCCGAGTAGCTGGGATTAGGGGCACACGCCACAGCTCCTGGCTCTACGGTGCCTTACTTTTGAAGGGAGAGTTTTAAATATGCTACGTATCTGTAATAATGTAGGGTGTGGAAGGAAATATCTAAGCTGTCAACAGGCAATGAGTTTGGAGGAGCTTCCACTTTTACTTTCCCCCTTTCCCCTTTTTTGCATTGCTTTTTTGTTTTGTGGAGATAGGGTCTCACTCTGTTGCTCAGACTGGAGTGCAGTGGTGTGATCTCCGTCACCGCAACCTCCACCTCCCAGGCTCAAGTGAGTCTCCTGCCTCAGCCTCCCAAGTAGCTGGGATTACAGGCACGTGCTATTACTGCCCGACTAATTTTTCTATTTTTACTAGAGACAGAGTTTCACCATGTTGGCCAGGCTGGTCTCGAACTCCTCACCTCAAATGATCCACCTGCCTCAGCCTCCCAAAGTGCTGGGATTACAGGCATGAGCTACCACACCCGGCTGTGCAGTGAGCCTCCCAGCCAAGGCAGAGGTGCTGTGGAGTTCATGTTTGCAGTGAGAAGCCCCACGAGGTCCTCTGTGGAACTAACTGGATTCACAGCTGATCAGGGTCATTGCTCTGTGCTGGAGGAATCTCAAACCTGGCTTCACCAACATATCCAAAGACTTACCAAGATTTAGTTTTCAGTAATTCTGGTACTGAAAACTATAGAAACTGGGATGACATAGAACACTAACACTGAGTGTTCAGAATAAGTGCCAGGCATTCTCATACCAGATGAAGTAGGCACAATTATGGATCCCATGTGCACATGGGCAAATGGAGCAGCATAGAGGTGAAGGAACTTGTCCAAGGTTGTCCAGCTGGTGAGCAGCAAAGCTGGGAACAAGCCACAGGCCCTGTCTGATGTCAGTTCCACGCCTCATCACTTCCTTCTAGCTAGGGTACCGCACCCCTGCTCAGCTCTGGAGCCCTGTCCATCTCTCCAAGGACAAGGACTCCTGGCACCTTCACATTCCTCTGCAGCAAGTAAAGGAACAGGGTTCTTTTTTTTTGTTAATAAAGTAGAATAACATTTATTTCTTAAAATTTTTATTATACATGCTGTATTCATGGAAAACCAAGATCTTTAAAGGAACTCAAATTAGATATAAATTATGTTCAGCTCTGAGCTGGTTTTAAGTCATGTTTAGCATGGAAACACTTAAACTGAAGCTTTCTTCTCCTTATAGGTTGCCATCATTTTCTTGATTTCCGCAATAGCTTTCCCTGGATTCAGACCCTTTAAAAAAGAGAAGAGAATCAATAACAAATGATAACTGAAACTGAATGGGAAAACCCAAGATCTTGGGTGAAACTCCTTCCTCAGCTGGTTCAGTGTCAAAGCAAGGTGAATGCAAATCAAGTCCCTCAAAACCATAGGGGTTGGGCTAAGGGCTCTCTTCTACCTTTTTTAACATTTGAAGATGGTTAGTTCCCTCTGGCAAGAGCTCTGCCATGTTCAGTTCCTTCTTGTGTGGCTCACTCTAACAGGCAAACAGGCCCACGGCAGAGCTGCACTCTCTGAAATGTTCAAAGACACCCAGGATAGTGTCTCTTCTAGGACTACAGGCCAACGTCAAAATCAGCCAGACATCTCTAAATCTTTTACATCATCACCATTATTATTAAATCGGCAGCAGCAGAAATCAGCATATACCAGCTCTCAAAGGTACATGGAAGAAACGACCCTCTATTAACCCTTTGTAAAACCATGATGAGTTCAACTGGCCAATACCATTGGTGTTAGCTGCAGTTTGCCCCTACAGCTGTTAACATCTGCTTTGCAGGAGGCATAATAATTAAACCCACTGAATGCCACCCTCATTGAAGCAGAAAGGGAGACAAGCAAGTACTTGGTAAAATGAGACAAGGTCTTATCTGACGTTAGTGAAGGCTTCCCTCATTTTAGAAGGATAAGTCTACCCCCCTAAAGTGTTGTGGAAAGAAGAAAAGGAAAGAAAGAAAAGAGATATTGAGAGAAGAAGAGAAAGAAGATACTTTTTTTTTTTTTTGACAGGGTCTTGCTCTGTCACCCAGGCTGAAGTGTGATCATAGTTCACTGTGGCCTGGAACTCCTGGCTCAAGTGATCTTCCGGCCTCAGCCTCCCAAGTAGCTAAAACTACAGGAGCATGCCACCACACCTGGCTAATTAAAAATTTTTTTTTGTAGAGATAGAATCTCACTATATTGTCTAGACTGGTCAAAAAGACATGCTTCATATACTGACATGGGATAATCTCCAAAATATAGTGCGTGAAAAAATACAGATAAGTGTGATATAAAAAAGGCAGAAGAGGACATATACGCATTTGTGTGCAGCATAAAATACCTCTGAAGTTCACACAAGAATCTGACTTCTAGGGAGGCGGCTGGGTGGAGTGGGAGGGGGACTTTTCACTGTATAGCCTTCTCAATCTGGAACCACCTGCGTATTTCCGGTCCCCACAGGGTCAGGAAGGTGTTTAGACTTAGAAGGTTGGTACATACCCAATCCGTGCAGGAAGAAAGAACACTGGATGGGGAGGCAGATGGTCTAACTCTAGTCCTACATTCCCACTGACCTGACAGTGATCTTGGGCGAGTCACTCCCCTCCCCACCTGGGGCTCAATTTCCCCATCTTTACAAGGGGGTTAAACTTGATGGTTCTCAAGTCCCTTCCAGTTTCATGATCGGCCTATGTCTATGTTTCAGTCCCAACTTCCAGCCGTTTTATAGAAGGAAGGGCAAGGCACAGAGAACCTGTTCTTGGCTGTCTCATTGTCTGCTGCACCCATCCCCTCCATGCACAGGTTTGTGACGAGGAATGTACCTTAGAGTCACTTGCAGAGCTTCTGAAGAAGTACACAGCCAGGCCCCACCACTGAAGATGCTGTCTCTGTCTCAAACAAGCTCAGTACTTATGGTTTTAAAAAAATAACAGAAGGTGACATTTATTGAGTGCTTACTCTATGCCAGGCACTGTTCCAAGCGCTTTCATAGCATAACTTGCCTCAGAGGTCAGTAGCTATTCACAGGCGCAAGCATGGCAAACCACAGTCCTGGGGACAGGACCCAGATGGAAGCCCAGGCAATAGAGGGGAACTGGAGCCTGGGGGCTCCCCTGGCGAGGCCACTGGAAACACAGAGAGTTTCCAGGCAAAAAAAATCACAAGTGAATTCTACAGCTTGGATTTGATGTTTTCAAATACATGATGTAATCTTTTTTTTACCGCTAACTGGCCACCCTACAGTTTTCCACCTTGCCGTCCACCGACTCACTGCAACTTTTAAGTGAAATCACTCGCCCACAGTCTTTGCTCAGAAGGCAGCCATGTTCTGAACCACACAGCCCTGGCCCTTCCCTGCCCACTGGGCAAGGCTGACTGGACCAGGGCTCACACCTGCTATGGTTTGAACGTGTCCCTGAAAGCTCATGTGTTGAAAACCTAATCCCCACTGCAACGGTATTGAGAGGTGGGACCTTTCAGAGGTGATTAGGTTATGGCGGCTCTGCCCTCACCAATGGATGGCCATTATCATAGGAGTAGGTTCCCGATAAAAGGATGAGTTTGGATTAGCCACGTGTGGTGTGTGCCTGTAGTCCTAGCTATTCAGGAGGTAGGATCACTTAAGGCCGGGAGTTCCAGGCAGAAGTGAGGTATGATTGCACCACTGCACCCCAGCCTGGGCAACAGAGACCCTGTCTTTAAAAAAAAAGGGGATGAGAAGGGCCGGGCATGGTGGCTCATGCCTGTAATCCTAGCACTTTGGGAGGCCAAGGTGGGCAGATCACCTGAGGTCGGGAGTTTGAGATCAGCCTGACCAACATAGAGAAACCTCACCTCTACTAAAAATACAAAACTAGCCGGGCATGAGTGGGGCATGCCTGTAATCCCAGCCACTCGGGAGGCTAAGGCAGGAGAATTGCTTGAACCTGGGAGACGGAGGTTGCGGTGAGCCGAGATTGTGCCATTGCACTCCAGCCTGGGCAACAAGAGTGAAACTCCATCTCTAAAAAAAGGATAAGCTTGGGCTCCCTTTCTCTTGCCCTTCTGCCTTTTGCCATGGGGTAATACAGCATGAAGGTTCTTGTCAGACGCCGGTACCAGCCTCTAGAACTGTGTGTCAAATAAACTTCTTTATAAATTACCGAGTCTGTGAAATTCTGTGATAGTACCACAAAACAGACTGAGACAGAACCTGGCCAAAGGGCAGCCAGTCTGTAGCCAGCTGTGGCCTCTGATGTGCAGGCATGAGAAGCTGAGCTGGGCCAATGTGACACCCTCTTGGGAACCTGTGCTGAGAAGTGCTGGGAGCAGATGGCGGGTGGCTGAAGCTGGAAGTGTGCTGGGAGGCAGAATCCAGGCCAGAGTGAGCCAAAAGCAGCAGCAAATGCAAGCAGGAAGAGGAACGAAAGTCAGAGCTTTGAGTCAGAGAAAACCTCCACAGAGCTGAAGGAAAGAACAGGCTGCTGGAGAGCAGGGCAGATTAGCAGCTGACATCGCAAGAAAGAGATGGAGAAGAAATGTAGTCCTCACAGCTGCCCGCATTCTGATGGCTTTTTCTTTCTGTTTCCTATGAAGTCAGGCTGAACGCAGGTACCTGCTCATGGGTTCCTGTGTATCCTTAACTCCCACAATGTCCCTGTGTAGCCCACAAATAAAGCCTGCTCCTGAGCTGGCCCGAGTCAGTCTACTTCTTGCAACTAAGAGCCAAACTAGCCCCTAGGTTCACACTGAAGGGACAGGCACATGCTGCTCCCTTTTCATCTCAAGTGACTAGGGTTGCTCTCCACCAATCGCCTCTTTGTGAGCACATGCTACCTCTGGCATGTCAGCTCTGAGGCAGAGCTGAGGGTCACCAGCCCCACGTACCTTAGGACAGGTCCTTGTGCAGTTCATGATGGTGTGGCAGCGGTATAGAGAGAACGGGTCCTGCAGCTTGGCCAGGCGCTCCTCTGTGAAGTCGTCTCTGGAGTCAATCATCCAGCGATAGGCCTGGAAAACCAGGGACTGATTAGCTGAGCTGCCAATCAACAGGCCAAAGCGGTACCCTGGCTCAACTCAAAGCTCTGGGAGTGCAGAGGAAAGGGAATTCACTCAGCTTAGATGCTTCATCTCCACACTCTAATTCTTGTCCATCTTGCAAAGAAAGGTTCCCAACATGTGTAGCTCCACTTGATTAATGGTCTCTGCAAACCTTTGATCCATACTGCACCTGGTACCCAGGTGCTTCATTATATACACTGGGCATCATCTCCTAATTATTTCATGTTGCTTAATAGCTTCCTACCCAGCTTATAATTTGGTGAAGGCAGGGACCTTCTTAAGAAGATAACCCTCTTATCTGTCTTTATGGCACCTACCCATGTTGGACTCGCTGTCTCTGAGTAAAGGAATGATTTAACAGACCTGTCTACAGATAGTATTTGTCCCACTTAACGATTCTTTGAATTCGCACAGCCCTCTCAGCAGCCTGAATCAGAAGCTGAAACGAATTAATCACATGACTATGGACCTGCTCTAGCAGTGTTACTTAGAGGACCTCTACATCCCCAACAACTCGGAGCAGCTGGTAAAGTGACAAGTGTAAGCGTACTTCATTATTCAATCTTTACATGGCTGGGAATCAATACTGCTCATGTGGTCACACAAGCCTGTAACTTCTCTTTCTGTGGGAAAATGAGAAAGAGAAGTTGGTTTTTGAGTTGCTTACACTATGAAAAGCACACATCTAAAAAAGCACAAGCTTTCTGGGAACAAAGACAGTGACTTTCTTTGCAGTGAACACCGATACTATTTTCTTTCTAGGCAACCCCTAAATCCAGGCTTTCATTAGCTGGGAAACAGCTTCTAATCTCATAGCTGGGCAGCTGCCCTTCAAAGACATTGCTTTCTCCCCTGCTTGCACACTACAAATCTTATGTTACAAATCCTATCAGAGGGAGATGGGGAGCCTCTGACCACCAGGCATATGGAAATACCTTTTAAACATCTGCAAGGCATGGTTTGCCACCCCTTGGGGTGACTCTTACCACACTGAAACAAAGGCAATTTGCAGACAAGGCCCCAGATTTACCGAAAGCAAGTGAATGCAATACAACCAATTACCCTGTTTGGACTGGATAGCAATGAAGGAAACCAGGCCCCTCAGAATGGCTGGCTTACAGCTGTCTATTGTCCTCTTGGACTTCTGGATGCTTCAGTATCAATTTCTCTTAAAGCAATTAAGGAGAACCTCACCTGCATAAGAACTGCAGGCCCCAGATATTTGTCTCCGTTCCACCAGTAGCTGGGGCAGCTGGTGCTACAGCAGGCACAGAGAATGCACTCGTAGAGCCCGTCCTGTATGGGGAGAAAGGAGAGGCAGGAGCTTGTGAGGGTAGAGACTCTGCTATGTCTTCAGCTGATTAAATGTGACCTTTGGGGTCAGTGCATGAATAAAATGCCTGCTTGCATGTGAATTTTCTTGGCAAAATCCAAGGTGTGATTTGCAGATATTTAGCAGATTAATAAAGATCTTGCAAGTGAAATGTAAACATCTGCCCAGGGTTCTTATGTCCACGTATAGTACACTTTCCGAAACTTCAATAAACAAGAACCTCTCACTTGTCTAAAAAAGAAATAGAAAACAAGAACACAAAAACAACTCCCATCAATTCCAACTTCCTGGAATGCGGTCAAGAGGGGAGAGATTCAAAAGCCTGGGGGCTGAAGCAGCAGAAGTCTATAGCTGCTTCTGCCCTGGGCTCAGCAGAAGGGCCCTCAGGTTTTCACTGGAAACCTCAACATCATCCCCAGTGACTGCCACTGCCAATCCTGACGGAGAGCCCTGCGCCTTACACGTTTTCCTCAACTGATCATCACAGTAATCCTGTGAGGTGAGTCCAGCAAGTTCCACTTACAGGTAAAGACCAAGGCACAGAGAGCGAGTTAGGCCATGTGCCCAGGGACGTGCCACTGTAGGCAGCAGAATCAGGATGTGGCCCCAGCAGCTGGCTCTGGCTTCCTGCACTTTCACACCTGCCACACTGGCTCAATCTGCCCAACAAGTCCGAAACACAAACCGGGCTTTCTGAGTTTGGAAACAACAGAAATGGATTAAAAGCAGCAAAACGAAAGGGGCCCACTGACACCTGAGGTGACAGTTGAGAACAGATGAGACAGAACCGATGGTTGTGACTGAACCATGAGTCTTCAACCAAATCTATTTGGTTCAGCTGTTCAGACGGCTGGTGGGAGTGTCAACTGGCCCCATTGGGCTAGAAGGCATAAGGTCATAGGATTAGGGGTCTTTAGAATAGTCATATTCTTTAACCCACTCCTAGAAAAATCTGTAAAAAGAAATTAGAATGTTTTGGGGCAGAACTTGAAGGATAAAGATGTTCATCTAGCCTTATTTCTAACAGTAAAAAACTGGAAACAATTTCATTGTCCAGCAATAGTGAAATGGTTTTATAATGCATGGTGCATACATCTGAAGCAGTAGAAAGCAAAGTGTAAGTTAATGCTTATGAAGAATTTTAAGAACATGAAGAAAATGCTCACAGTAACATAAGTGAAAAAAGCAGAATATAAAAGCATATTTACATTTTGGTCCCAGCTACATAAAAATATAGTGTAATAAACAAAAAACAAAGGAAATTATAAATATTAACATATTAACAGAGATTATGTTTTGGTGGTGGAATTATCAATTATTTTTTTGAGACAGGGTCTTCCTGTGTCCCCCTGGCTGGAGCGCAGTGGCACAATCACGGTTCACTGCAGCCTGGAACTCTTCTGCTCAAGCAATCCTCCCATCTCAGCCTCTTGAGTAGCTGGGACTATAGGTGCACACCACCATGACTGGCTAAGTTTTAAAGTTTTTGCAGAGACAGGGTCACCCTATGTTCCCCAGGCTGGAAATTATAGCTTATTTAAAAAATGATGGAGCCTCTCTGAACCTATTCTGGTTTGGGGGCTGCCCAATTAAAAATAAATACATACATAAATTTCTCCATATTTTCCAATTATTTATTAAGTTCAGCATACTAATTCAAGGGAGCAAAAAAATGTTAAATGTTTGGTATGTAAATGAGTAAATTTCTTTCTTTTTTTTTTTTGAGACGGAGTCTCGCTCTGTCGCCCAGGCTGGAGTGCAGTGGCGCAATCTCGGCTCACTGCAAGCTCCGCCTCCCGGGTTCACGCCATTCTCGGGCCTCAGCCTCCCGAGTAGCTGGGACTACAGGCGCCTGCCACTGCGCCCGGCTAATTTTTTTCTATTTTTAGTAGAGACGGGGTTTCACCATGGTCTCGATCTCCTGACCTTGTGATCCGCCCGCCTCGGCCTTCCAAAGTGCTGGGATTACAGGCGTGAGCCACCGCGCCCGGCTGTAAATGAGTAAATTTCTATTACAGGTTGGGCATCCCAAATCTGAAAATCTGAAATCCAAAATGTTCCAAAATCTGAAACTTTTTGAGCACCAATATGCTGCTCAAAGGAAATGCTCACTGGAGCATGGATTTCAGATTTTGGATTTGGGGTGCTTAACTGGTAAGTGTAAGGCAAATATTCCAAAATCTGAAAACACCTGAAACCCCAAACACTGAAACCCAAGCATTTAGGATAAGGAATAGTCAACTTGTATCTAGCAACCAAACATGCTCAGGGGAACTCTTCAATCCCTGGTAGTATCCCATCTGGGAGATGTTCGCTAGCTACGCATCAGTCCTGCCTAGGAATGTAAGAGGACTTGTTGGGCCAGAGGGCCTGGTTCAGCCCGGACTCTGGGATGCACGAGACTCTGGGAGGTAGAAACTGAGGGGCAGAGCTGCAGTCTGAGAAGAGTGGCTCTGAAGTCTCATCCCAGGCTTACTCTGACTTGCAGGCCACTGTGCTGACCCTCACTATCTCGATGGTGACAGACTGGGCACACTTACTAGGACTCCCCTTTTGTTTTTTTTTTTTTGAGATGGAGTCTTGCTCTGTTGCCCAGGCTGAAGTGCAGTGGCACAATCTTGGCGCACTGAAACCTCCACCTCCTGTGTTCAAGCAATTCTCCTGCCTTAGCATCCTGAGTAGCTGGGATTACAGGTGTAAGCCACCACACTCAGCTAATTTTTGTATTTTCCGTAAAGATGAGGTTTTATCATGTTGGCCAGGTTGGTCCTGAACTCCTGACCTCAAGTGATCTGCCCACCTCAGCCTCCCTAAGTGCTGGAATTACAGGTGAGCCACTGCACCTGGCCGAACTCCCCTTTCTTAACATTTTATGGGCAACGGGACAGGATGCTAAATATTTACCAAGTCTTAAAAGGTAGAATTCATTTATTCATTCATACAACTGATACTTTTCATATATTCATATACATGTACATGTTTTAGAGACAAAATCTTGCTACGTTGCCCGGGCTGGCGTCAAACTCTCAAACTCCTGGGCTCAGGTGATCCTCTTACCTCAGACTCCTGAGGGGTTGGGACTATTGGCATGCACCACTGCATCTGGCCTTTTTAAAAATTTCTATATATTTTTACAGTATTTACATAACTAATATTTATTGATAAAATAACATGCGCCAGGGCCTAGGGATCCAGAAAGGAAAAAGACACAGCCATTGCCCTTGGCCCTGTGCAGGTCTATAGCTGGGGCTCTGTCTCCATTTGGCCCATTCCTACCTCCTCATGTCCATGAGTATGCAGGGAGGGAGTGTGCAAATCAGAGAAGATTTCTTCGCAGAGGAGTAAAAGTAGTGTAGAAGAAGAAAGACTGAAAACTTGATAATGATGCCTCTGCTTTAAGATTTTATAGCCTGTACATGGGAATGGCAACTCCCAGACAGTCAGCAGGCCAGGAACAATCCCACCCCACAGATCACCAGAAGTATGAACATCGATACTCTGTTTTGCCATTAACATTTCACTCCCATTTGTAAAGCAGGATGGTGGTAGTTACAACTGGCCAGCATATGTGTTTCATTTTGCCCCCAGTGAGGGAACAGTTCTGACTTACCGGTCACCTTTTAAAGCCCAGGCAATTTACATACTGGTTTATTTTGAAAAAGATGGACTGCAACACAGCAACCACCCGCCCCTGCAGTGTGGCACAGGGGCTCTAGCTCCTTGGTCCACTCTGGGCCATTCATGGGTTCACACTACTCACCCGGCCCTAAGAGGATGACTGCCCCACCCTTGTGCCAGTTCCTTTCCAGGATACACTAAATAGCTTGCATCAGCTCATGTTCCCTGACAAGTCACACTCCTGGCAAACATCTTTGCAATAAATTTTTCAGATCAAAACAATAAATAGGGACTAATGACCAGTTTCTCACGCTCTTCTATGGACTGCAGATACTGCTGCTTGCCTTCCTGAGATTCATCCTTCTTCTTCAAATAAGGCTCAATGGATTTGTACTGAGCATAGAAGTTGCTCAAATCCTGTGGTTAAGAGGAAGAAGAAGAAAAGGATCAGATTCCATCATCACCTCAGCTTTATTTACCCCATTTCTTGGACACTTGACTAGTCGTCCACTCTATGCCAGGCAGAAGCCAGACTCTCTTCTTTTGTCACGAATATATGCAAAGATTACAAAAGGAGAAATGGTCACAATGTTAAGCATGGTTAGGAAACGTCTCCCTAACCTACCTGGGAAACCTGCCAATCCCACAGTCCTTTCTGCCCTTGAAAACACCACGTCAGCAAAGGTGGTCAAATACAGGGAGGCAGAAATTAAAGTAGAACTCATAAACAGCTGTTGCTTTCCCAACAGGTATTTTCCACATGATTTCTTTGTAGTTATGGCCAAATTATTCATTACTGGGAATGTTCCAACTCTAAAATTCTGTGCCCTGTTATTCTCAAACAAACCTCACCAAATGAGCTGCTGGAGGGTTTTCTAGGCATTTATCTTCTGCCATTCAAATTCTTTAATTAAACTCTGGTCACACTGTCTCAGATCTGGGGATTTTCCTAACCTCTCAGTGACACTGTGGTCCTCCTCTTGCCATAACATAGGAAATAGTCCCATCTATTTACTATCTGACTAGAAGAGGAGCCTTACTCAAATCCTGCCCTAAAAAACTAATAGCATAACGCACATAGCACCACCCCCCATGCAAGCAAAAACAAAAACAAAACCAGAGAGATGCAGAAACTCACGGGAACAAGGTCCTTTATCACATACATATGCGGAAGAGGGTAGATTTTTGAGACCTTATTGAGGTTGGTGTCAATCCTTCGGGTGCAAGCTAGAGTGTTGCCTCCATTGATGTTCATTGCACAAGAGCCACAGATGCCTGAAAGAGACACACATTTAACACATCCTCACCCATATCTGGAATCAGTCCTGCCCCAAATCCTTTCTTCTGGGTCCTCCTTGCTCTGCCATCAGGGGCAGCACTGACATGGAACATGCCTCTGACAGAGGTGCCTGTGGCCTTTTCTCCCTTCCTTCCTTCTTCCTGCCTCGAATGTGGTTCTAATGGCTTGAGTTCCAAAAACCACTCCATGACCATGTGGCAACCTTGAAGTTAGAAGCCACATGCCAAGGATGGCACTGGAGGAGGCCAGGGGCTTGGGCACTACTGGCGCCATGGAGTTTCCACAGCAGTTCTAGCTCTATGTGTCAAGTGTTTTGAGAGAAAAATCAGCCTCTGTGTGTGGTTTTTTTTGTTGTTGTTTTTTTTAAAGAAACAGTCTCACTCTGTCACCAGGCCGGAGTGCAGTGGTGCAATCATAGCTCACTGCAGCCCTCAACCCCTGAGTTCAAGTGATTCTCCCACCTCAGCCTCCCAACTAGCTGGGACTACAGAAGCAGCCCACCACACCCAGCTAATTTTCTGTAATTTTTGTACTGATGGGGCTTGTAGAGACAGGGTTTTGTTATGTTGCCCAGGCTGGGCTTGAACTGCTGGGCTCAAGCAATCTGCCTGCCTTGGCCTCCCAAAGCACTGGGATTACAGGTGTGGGCCACTGCGCACCCGTCAATGTTTTTTTTTTTTTTTTTTTTTTTTTTTTTTTTTTTTTTTTTTTTTTTTTTTTTTTTTTTTTTTTTTTTTTTTTTTTTTTTTTTTTTTTTTTTTGAGACAAGAGTTTTGCTCTTGTTGTCCAGGCTGGAGTGCAATGGCGCGATCTTGGCTCACCACAACCTCCGCCTCCCCGGTTCAAGTGATTCTCCTGTCTCAGCCTCCCGACTAGCGGTGGGCGTGGTGACTCACGCCTGTAAGCCTATGTTTTTTAAAGCCACTGTTATTTGAACACAAATCTAACAGATACAACACCCAAAAGTAAAGTAAATCAACACTGTCTTGGTCATCTTAAGGTTGAGGTGACCTGGATACAGATTATCAAGAGATAACTCTTCTTTTTTTTTCTTGGCTGAGTCTTGCTCTATCACCCAGGCTGAAGTGCAGTGGGGGAGTCATAGCTCACTGTAGTTCACTTTAGCCTCAAACTTCTGGACTCAAGCGAACCTCTACCACAGCCTCCTGAGTAGCTGGGACTACAGGCATGTGCCGCCATGCCTGACGAATTCAAAAAAATTTTTTGTAGGTTGGGTGAAGTGGCTCACACCTGGAATCCCAGTACTTTGGGAGGCTGAGGTGGGCAGACAACTTGAGGTCAGGAGTTCGAGACCAGCTTGGCCAACATGGTAAAACCCTGTCTCTACTAAAAATGTAAGTCGTGGCAGGTGCCTGTAATCCCAGCTACTCGGGAGGGTGAGGCGGGAAAATCACTTGAACTGGGGAGGCAAAGGTTGCAGTGAGCCAAGATCGCGCCACTGCACTCCAGCCTGGGTGACAGAGCAAGACTCTATCTCAAAAAAAAAATAAAGAAATTTTTTTTTGTAGAGCAGGGTTTCACTTTATTGCCCAGGCTGGTCTCTAACTCACAGCCTCAAGTAATCCTTCTGCCTTTGCCTCCCACTGTGTTGGGATTACAGGCCTGAGCTACCACACTCAACAGACGTAAGGCTTTCCTACTTAAAATAAGTAGCATAGTACCGTGGGGTTATGAAACCCACAAAAACTGACTCAGCACGTACTTTCCAAAGAGGAGAATAATCAACTAATGTGAAACTGAGGCAAAGCAAAGCAAACTAAACAAAAAACATGCTGACTCAGGACCCTGACATGAGAATTTTCTTAGCCTGGACCTACTTCCTGTATATGCAAATTTCCTGGGCATTTCGGAGTTTAAAAATGATTATGTACTCTAAACCTCTAGTGCCAGTCCTCTGAAGCTGTTTTTTGAAGATCATTAGGTCAGAGAAACCTGATTGCTTGAGAAAGTTGCACTGGTTATCACCATTTTCTTTTTTCTTTTGAGACGGAATCTCGCTCTTTCGCCCAGACTGGAGTACAGTGGCGCGATCTCGGCTTACTGCAAGCTCTGCCTCCCAGGTTCAAGTGATTCTCCTGCCTCAGCCTCCTGAGTAGCTGGGACTACAGGCGCGTGCCACCACACTCGGCCAATTACTGTATTTTTAGTAGAGACGGGGTTTTAACATGTTGGTCAGGCTGGTCTCAAACTCCTGACCTTGTGATCTGCCCGCCTCAGCCTCCCAAAGTGCTGGGATTACAGGCATGAGCCGCCACGCTTGGCCTCACCTTTTTTTTTTTTAAATGGAAAGGGAGTCTATGTTTCCCAAGCTGGTCTCAAACTCCTAGCCTCAAGCTGGCCTACCACTAGACCTTCCAAAGTACTGGGATCATAGGCGTGAGCCACTGTGCCCAGTCAGTTATCACTTTCATAAGACTAGAAAAGACAGTAAGACTCTCTCCCTCTCATGTAAATCTTAGTAAGAGTTTAAGAGAACACAAAGATGTGTCTTAAGCAAGAGACTGGATATTTTTTTTTTTTTTGAGACGGGGTCTCCCCAGCCGCCCAGGCTGGAGTGCAGTGGCCGGATCTCAGCTCACTGCAAGCTCCGCCTCCCGGGTTCACGCCATTCTCCTGCCTCAGCCTCCCGAGTAGCTGGGACTACAGGCGCGTGCCACCACACTCGGCTAATTACTGTATTTTTAGTAGAGACGGGGTTTTAACATGTTGGTCAGGCTGGTCTCAAACTCCTGACCTTGTGATCTGCCCGCCTCAGCCTCCCAAAGTGCTGGGATTACAGGCTTGAGCCACCGCGCCCGGCCGAGACTGGATATTATCAATACATTTATGTACACCTGGCATCCAACTAGAGCAGTTTGCTTTTACAAGAAATGGCATGAAAATTAAAAAAATAAATCCAATGACCTTTCTCTCAAAAAGGCTCTCTGGGAATTCTCTTTCAAGATGGGAATTAAAAAAAAAAAAAAAAAGAAAACAAGATGGGCATAAAAAGGAGTAGCAATTGATACAATTCTGCCTCATTTTTCTTTTAGTCCAGATGGGTCATACCTTATGTTCTTGGCTCAGAAAGAGACCTACAGGGAAAGGTTACTGAAAAGCATCTACCTTTCCTGTGGTGTCAGGACTTACATGGGGAAGGCTGCTGTTTAACTGCTGCAGAATGTTCCCTGAACAGCAGGACTCAGCTGAACTATCATCATATCCATCAGCATTTGCAAAAATTAGATTTAAATAAGATTAGCTGAATCAAAACAGATGTCTTAAAAGACTTGAAATGCTTGAAATGTACAGTCGAACAGATAAAAAGCAATGGGCTAATATCTATACTGGCTTTTCCTTTTTTTTTTTTTTTTTTTTTTTAGGGTTCTCTTAGAAAAAAGCTCAGTGTCCTCACAAAACCAAGTTACTCTCTGCTTTTGTTTTATCCCAGGTGTTTCAAGCCAAGTCAGTGCCTGAGAGAGCAGATCTAGAGTCTGGAATCTGACAGCTTTGACTGACTCCTGGCTCTCAAGTCACTCTCTATGTGTCCTTGAGGAAGTCCATTACCCTTTCTGGGCCTCTCCTTTAAATTGAAGGTCGATAATAAGCACACTCATCTACCTCATGTCCAGTGCACAGAACAGGGCCGGGCACACAGTCTGGCTCCATGGCCATCAGGCCAGTCGGCCTTCACGGCACCCCGTGCAATTTTTGCCATATCTGAGAACCACCTGCATCAACTTTCTTTAAAGTATCTCTTGAGTTTTCTTTAACTTGTTTGCTTAAATTCACATTTAAAAAGCACTTATATCCTTATTATACCATTATTAGTAATTATATTTTTCTTTTTTTTTTGAGATAGTCTCACTCTATTGCCCAGGCTGGAGTGCAGTGGCATGATCTTGGCTCACAGAAAACTCCAGCTCGCGGGTTCAAGTGATTCTCCTGCCTCAGCCTCCCCAACAGCCGGGATTACAGGGGCCCGCTATCATGCCCGGCTAATTTTTGTATTTTTAGTAAAGACAAGGTTTTACCATGTTGGCCAGGTTGGTCTCGAACTCCTGACCTCAGGTGATCCACCCGCCTCGGCCTCCCAAAGTGCTGGGATTACAGGTGTGAACCATCGCACCCAGCAATAATTATATTTTTCCAATACAGAAAATAAATACATTGCTATTGACGTAGAAAATGTTGGTCTGCACACTGCCTCAAATGGGCTCACGTGGTGCCAGCAGCACAAGTAACCACACGCTGAGGGAGACACTGGGCCAACCAATCCGGAACACAGCTACCGAGTACATGTCATGCTGGGAGCTGAGGGAGACACGCACATCTCCCCTGCTGGACAAGCATAAGTGCCAGACAGAAGCTCTCTAGTGCTCCCTTAATAAAATAGCTCAGCAGCATGGAGGGTGCCAGCCAGCAGGTCCTAGCTAGGCCTTGAGGCGTGCAGCAGCTCATAGGGTCCACCAGGTGCAGTAACCACAGGATAGAATGCTCCTAAAGGAAAGTAAACTCAGAAACCAGAACTTGCACCATGGTTAGAATTTTGGATGCATTTACCCAAGAAAAGGAACTAGGTCACACAGCAAGTTATCCCGCAGAAGAGCTTGCAGCTGGTTTCTATGATGTGTCTATCAGGTTTTGGCCGGAGCTCAAGCCTCTCTGGAAGACCACAAAGTATCTGGAGCCCCGAGGAGGAGATGAAAATGTCCCTTCTCTGCATGACTTCGAAGGTCAAAGTAGAGGACAATTTCATTCTTAATCTTGATTTAAAAGCAATCCAATACCATGGGCCACATCTAACGGTGTCGGTATAACAAGAAAAAATATCCAGTGGTATTTATTGTAAGTTCAACCTCCCTACACTTTATCATAATACAATCCAGGGACACCTGGATGCATTCGCTTATCCATCTGGGCCTTCTCAGGTCACCTTTCAGATTTGTTCCGTTACAGGATTCTTGACACATTTTAAGTAACTGCACAGTTCGTATTTTGAAAATCACAGTGCAAAAACATATTTCTAGGAAATGGTAAACGCTTAAGTAGAAGTAAGTAACAAGGTATGAAAACAACTTCCATATGCCACCGTGCGCCGTTTTGTGTTGTACGTTTCTGAAGCTCCCTGCAAAGTTTTTTCCAAATAAATCTTTATCTTCAAATTTTATGTTGATTTCTGACCCTCGTTTAGAATAGTAATTGAGCATAATACATAACCATTAAAACAGAAGACCATAGGTACAGGAGAATAAAGACACCCAATCACTGCACAGTCCCCTAATCAAAAGTACTGTGAGCCTCGCTAGAACATAGAAGGGGCAGTGGCATGGTACAAGCGCCAGCATCCCCTAGGGCTTGGGACCTGGAGTGCGGGCCTGGCAGCCAAGAGCCTGGTCTAACTCTGGCTGAGCCGGCGTTGGCCGAGCTCGCGTGAGAGACAATGATTGAGTTTCGCCTGGCCGAGGCATGTTCTCCACTGAGTGCACAGAGGCAGCACCTGCGTCTCTGGAGGTGAGTTAAATACACACGAGATCTTTAGAACAGCATCTGACACGATAAATCATAGTTTTAACATATAATAATCATCAATGGAGAAACTATGATTCTATGGAAATACTCCTCTCTGAACCTCAGTATTATTCTTAGGAAGTTAATATTACGGCACCGAGGATTATGTGAAAATTACATAAAAATATGTAGTTTTCACAAACCTGGGCACATAGGTAACGGTGCCTCCACCAAATCTATTTTCTGGTTGCCCACCCTGCCAGCCCATTCCTTCTCAGATAATTATCTAGCAATGGAGATTAAAAATATATTTAAAAATATGCCATTTCTTTTAGCATTAATCCTGTATTCCATTTTTTTTTTTTTTCTTGAGACGGGGGTCTTGCTCTGTCTGTAACCTCTGGCATCACGGGGGCTCAAGAGATCCTCCCTACCTCAGTCCCCCAGTAGCGGGGACTTAATGTTGTGCGACGACCACACCCAGCTTAATTTTTTGTATTTTTTGTAAAGAAGATGGGATTTCGCCATGTTGCTCAGGCTGGTCTCAAACTCCTGGACTCAAGTGATCCTCCTGCCTTGGACTCTCAAAGTGTTGGGATTATGAGTGTGAACCAATGGTGCGATCTTGGCTCACTGCAATCTCTACCCTCTGGGCTCAAGCGATTCTCCTGCCTCAGCCTCCTGAGTAGCTGGGATTACGGGTGCATGCCGCCACACCCGGCTAATTTTTGTAGTTTTAGTAGAGATGGGTTTCCCCATGTTGGCCAGGCTGGTCTCAAACTCCTGACTTCAAGTGATCCACCTGCCTCAGCCTCCCCAAATGCTGGGATTACAGGTGTGAGCCACTGCACCCGGCCCATTATCTGTATTTGTATCAGCAATATGCAGACATCCTTTCTGCTGGACCTCTGCTAACACTGGGAATTGGAAGCTTTAAAAACCTTTGCTATTCTGATACTGGCGAAGTGTTATTGTTTTCAGTGTTTTAAATTGAGATTTCTGAATACTACAGAGGTTGAATGTTTGTCAGAAATTTACTGATTTTTCTTTATTTCACAATTATTTATTGAACATTTACTCTGCCAGGTTCTGTTCTAGATGCTGGGGATGCAGCAGAGAATAAAAGACACGATACCACCTGCCTGCACAAAGCTCTGTTCCAGAGGACTCATTCTAGACAGTCTGTCCACATTCTTTGCCTCTGTTTACCGGGGTCTTAAGAATTCTTTTACATGATCTGAGGCTCTCATATATTATATCTGTTGCTATTTCTGCTTCCTCCCTCACTGTCAATAGTAATTTGCTATTTGACTCCTAATTTTGGTAACAGAATTTTAAACATACATGAGTTAAATGTTTACGTTAATGAAGGTGGCTATTTTTTCTTTTACAACATTATCTATCACTTTTAAGCCTAAATAGACCACTGCCCTTCCTGAGGTCTGATACTTTACATTTTCTTCTACTTAAAAAAAATTTTAAGTTACTCCCCTAAAACTGCAAAAACTTTATCAGTTGTCCCAAATCACTGACTAAATCCTCTTTTGCTTCTTATTTGTAATACCTTTCTCCCATATTTAATACTGGGACCTCAGATAAAATTAAGACTGTTTTGTTGCTACATTTTTATTCTAATGATCTGCCTGTTCTTGTCCTAGCATATTTTAAATGACAAAACCAGTCTTTGTTTTTTTTTACATTACAAAGGCTAATATTTGCATCTTATAAAAATTTCAAATTGGCCAGGCGGGTGGCTCATGCCTGTAATCCCAGCACTCTGGGAGGCCGAGGCGGGTGGATCACCAGGTCAGGAGATTGAGACCATCCTGGCTAACATGGTGAAACCCCATCTCTACTAAAAATACAAAAAATTAGCCGGGCGTGGTGGCATGTGCCTGTAGTCCCAACTACTTGGGAGGCTGAGGCAGGAAAATTGCTTGAACCCGGGAGGCGGAGGTTGCACTGAGCCAAGATCGCACCACTGTACTCCAGCCTGGGCAACAGAGTGAGACTCTGTCTCAAAAAAAAAAAAAAAAAAAATTCTCCTGCTTCAGCCTTCCAACATGCTGGGATTACAAGCACGAGCCACTGCGCCTGCCCGAGGTTTTGTGTTACAAGATTACGTTATCTATGAGAGATAGGTTTACTTCTTCTTTTCCAATTTCCTTTTCTTTCTTCTTCTTGCCCAATTTCCCTGGCTAAGCCTCCAGTAAAATTTTGAATGGCTGATGTTAGCATATAAAATAGAATTATTCGTAGCCACTGAAATACACACACACAAAAATAGTATTTTGCATACTGACCTTACATCCTGCAGCCTTGCTAAATTTACTTACTCTTTTAGTTTTGTAGACTCCTTGAAATTTTCTATATAAACAATCATGTTGCCTGTGACTAGAGTTAAATTTCTTCCTTTATAAGCTTATATATGCCTTCTACTTCTTTTACTTGCCTTTGATGGACTGGCTAGAACCTTCAGTACAATGTTGAACTCAAAAACAGAGTGGACAACTTTCCTCGTTCCTGATCTTATGGGGAAAGTGTTCGACATCTCACAATAAAGTATGCTATCAGCTTTGGTTTTCACAGTCTTCATCTGGCTGAGGAAGTTCCCTTCTTTTCCTATTCACAGTTATTATTATTTAAATAAAATTAGGACTATTTCTTTTAATTCAAATTCCTTATAGTTTTATTTATTTATTCTGTTAAAATATACACACTGAAAATTATTTAACCCATTATCATTTTTAAAAATTGTGAATTAGTGTTGAATCTTGCCAAAAGCTTTTCTGCATATATTAAAGCAATCAAATGGGTTTTTCCCCTTTATTCTGTTAATACGGTGAATCACACTGATTTTCAAATGTATTTATTTATTTTGCACTTTTTCTTGCATTTAAACAGCATGTAAGTTGAGTTTTGCTTTTCTTAAAAAAAATCTATTATGACACTGTTGGCTTTTTAACTGGAAGTATTTAATGGTTTTTACATTTAATATAGTTATTGACGTGGCTGGATTTAGGTCTATCATTTTACTATTTTCCATCATTTTGCTGCTATTCTCTTCTTCCCTTCTTATTCTAATATTTTTAGACTAAGTAAATATTTTTAGAAATCAATTTTAATTTATGTATTGGCTTTTTAGCTATATCTCTTTGCATTTAAAAAAACACTCTTGGCTGGGTATGGTGGCTCACACCCATAATCCTAGCACTTTGGGAGGCTGACGCAGGAGGACTGCTTGAGCCCAGGAGACCAGCGTGGGCAACATAGTGAGACCCTGTCTCTACAAAAAAAGAAAAAAAAAAAAAATTGGCCAGGCATAGTGGTACATGCCTATAGTCCCAGGTACATGGGAGGCTGAGGTGGGAGGATTGCTTGAGCCTAGGAGGTCTCAGGAAGGGAGGATTGCTTGGTTGAGCCTGGGAGGGTGTAGTGAGCTATGATCATGCTACTGCATTCCAGCCTGGATGACAGAGTGAGGTCCTGTCTCAGAAGAAAAAAAAAAAAGTTACTCTAGAATTATAACTTACATAATTTACATCTTTAACTTTTTATACCTGTTTAGAAGTACTATTGTGCCACTTTATGTAATGCAAGAATCCTGCTACATTATTATAGGTCTATTTACCTGCTGCTCCCAGCCCCTACACTATAGTTATCATATGCATTACATCTATGTGAGTTATATATTATAGAATATCTTAACTTTGCTTTAAACAGTCATATCAATTTCAACAAAATTAAGAGGAAAAAATCCATGTTCAGCGCTCTTCATTCCTTTTCTAAGAGCCAAGTTTCCACCTGGTATTGTTTTTCCTCAGCCTGACTAACTTCCTATAGCATTTCATGTAGTACTGGTCTTCTGGCCATGAATTCTTTTTCTTTCTGTTTATCTGAAAATGTTTTCATTTCATAATCATCCTGAAGAATATTTTTTTCTGAATGTGGAATTCCAAGCTGACAGTTTTTCTTTTAGTACTTTAAAGACGCTATTTATTTCACTGTCTCTTGGCCTCCAGTTTCTGATGAGAAGTCAGCAATCTTTCATATGGTTTCCGTGTATGTAACGTGTTGTTTTTCTCCAGCTGCTTTCAAGATTTTCTCCTATTTTGGTTGTCAGCAACTTGACATCGTGGAGCAGGGCATAGTTTTATTTTTATTTACCTAGTTGGGGTTCACTAAGCTTCCTGGACATGTAAATTATGTCTTTCATGGGCTCAGGAAATTCCTGGCCATGAGTTCTTCAAACAGATATTTATTTTGCCTTTTCTTTCTCTCCATTTTTTCTGGAAGTCCAATTACATGTGTGTTAGGTCCATCCATCTACTCACCCATCCATGGTCTTGCTCTGTTGCCCAGGTTGGAGTGCAGTGGCACAATTATAGCTTATAGCAGCCTCTAAGCTCAAGCTATCTTCTCGCTTCAGCATCCCAAACAGCTAGGACTACAGGTATGTGCCACCATGCCTGGCTGATTTTTCAAAGAAAAAATTTTTTTGGTAGAGACAAGGTCTCACAGGTTGCCCAAGCTGGTCTTGGACTCTTGGCCTCAAGTGATCCTTCTGCCTTAGCTTCCCAAAGTGCTGGGATTACAGGCACGAACCACCATGCCTGCTCTAGACCTTCTGATGCTGTTCCATAGATCACAGGAGCTCTTTCCCTTTTCAAAAATCTTTCTTTTTCTTAAGAACAGATAATTTCGGCCAGGCGTGGTGGCTCACATCTGGAATCCCAGCACTTTGGGAGGCCGAGGCGGGAGGATCACTTGAGGTCAGGAGTTCAAGACCAGCCTGGCCAACACGGCAAAACCTTGTCTCTACTAAAAATACAACAAATTAGCTGGGGCGTAGTGGTGCACATCTGTAATCCCAGCTACTCAGGAGGCTGAGGTGGGAGAATCGCTTGAGCCTGGAAGGCAGAGGTTACAATGAGCCAAGACTGCGCCACTGCACTCAAGCCTGGGTGACACAGCAAGACTCCGTCTCAAAAAACAAACAAAAAAAACCCCAAAAACAACAAAAAAATTAGATAATTTCTATTAATATTTTTAAGTTTGCTGATTCTTCTTATTGCCATTTCCAATTTGCTGTTAAAGCCATCTGATGAATTTTCCTTTTCACACATTGCATTTTTCAGTACTAGATTTTCCATTTGGCTTTTCAATAGTTTCTATTTCTCTTTGGAAATTTCCTATTTCATTATGAGCATAATTTCCTTTATATGTGAGGAAATTAAAAAATACTTTAAATTCCACTGGGCTCAGGTGGCTCATGCCTGTAATCCCAGCACTTTGGGAGGCTGAGGTGGGTGGATCACCTGAGGCCAGGAGATCAAGACCAGCCTGGCCAACATGGCGAAACCCCAACTCTACTAAAAACACAAAAATTAGACGGGTGTGGTGGCGGGCACCTGTAGTCCCAGCTACTCAGGAGGCTGAGGCAAGGGAATCGCTTGAACTCGGGAGACGGAGGTTGCAATGAGCCAAGATCGCACCACTGTACTCCAGCCTAGGTGACAGAGTGAAACTCAGATTCAAAAAAAATAAAAAAAAAAAAGAAAAATTAATATGCTGTAGAGAATCTGGATTGTACTATGTTTTTCTGAAAAGTGTGGATTTTAACATTTTACACAGGCAATTAACATGGCTGAACGCAAGATTTGGGCAGAGTTCATGAACAGCATTTAGTGTGCCTCCTCTGTGGTTCTCTTCTTTCCAGGCTTTCCCCCTCATTTCCTAGTGGTTGTGGAAGCCCCAAAATGTGTCTTCTCATTATTCAAGCTAAGATTGTTTATTTTTTCGAGACAGAGTCTCACTCTGTTGCCCAGGCTGGAGTGCAGTGGTGTGATCTTGGCTCACTGCAACCTCCACCTCCCACATTCAAGTGATTCTCCCCCATTAGCCTCCAGAGTGGCTGGGATTAGAGGCATGTGCCACCATGTCTGGCTAATTTTTGTATTTTTAGTAGAGATGGGGTTTCATCATGTTGGCCTGCTTTGGCCTCCCAAAGCACTGGGATTACAGGTGTGAGCCAACGCACCCAGCCGGATTGTGGTTTTCCATCCAACTGTTAGTCCCGTTACTTCCCATACCAACTTGGACTTGTCCTCAGCAAAATCATGTAACAATAAAATGGTAATTTGTCCAATGCCATTTCATTCTTCCAAGTGTCAACTCCCCTCCAGTGTCTGCTCACTCTTGGTCCTTCTCCACTGTTCAGGCAGTTGTTTCTCACATTTCGTCCAGAGTTGATAATTGTTATTTGTAGGAGGGTAAGTCTGATGAGAGCTACTGTGCCAAAATTGGAAATGAACCCAAAGATTCTTTAAATTTTTTATCATTAAATAAGAGTTATGGGCCGGGTGCTGTGGCTCATGCCTGTAATCCTAGGACTTTGGGAAGCTGAAATGGGTGGATTGCTTGAGCCCAGGAGTTTGAGACCAGGCTGGGCAACATAGTGAAACTCCATCTCTACAAAAAATACAAAACTTAGCTGGGTGTGGTGGCATGTGCCTATAGTCCCAGTTGCTCAGGAGGGTGAGGCAGGTGGATTGCTTGAGCCTGGGAGGCTGAGGTTGCAGTAAACCGTGAGCATGCCACTGCACTCTAACCTGGGTGACAGACCGACCCTGTCTCACAAAGATAGTTATGACTTTAACTCTTCTAGTTTTAGCTACATTCTCTAAGTTGTGATTTGCAACGTCTTTACTTTCTAGGTATCTGGCAATATTTTTTATGTGTTCCTGATCAAATAGGCAGTTAGAAATGTACTTTTTATTTTCTAAGCAGTAGCGTTTTTTGTTTTATTAGGTTTTTTTTTGCTTTTTTTTTTTTTTTTTGAGACACAGTCTTGCTCTGTCACCCAGGCTGGAGTGCAGGGGTGAGATCTCGGCTCACTACCTCCTCCTCCCAGGTTCAAATGATTCTCGTGCCTCCGCCTCCCAACACCCAGCTTATTTTTATATTTTAGTAGAGACAGGGTTTCACTATGTTGGCCAGGCTGGTCTTGAATGCCTGACCTCAAGCGATCCACCTGCCTCGGCCTCCCAAAGTGCTGGGATTATAGTTGTGAGCCACCGCGCCCGGCCTGTTTATATTTTTAATATGGGTTCTTAGTTTTACTGTATTTTGGTCCAAAAATGTGGTCTGTGCAATTTCTATTCCTTTGAATTTTGCTGGGGACTTTTGGTTGCTGAGTATTTGACAATTTTGTCTATTTAAGAAGGTTATGTATCAATTAATGCTACCTCATTAATAGCACTTACGTGTCATCACAGAAAGTCAAAATAAGCATTAAGAGTATTCGTGGTTTTCAAACTTTTTTTTTGGTGCCACAGAAGCTTTTGTTTGAAACAAATAAAACACTCATTCACTTACACATAAAATAGATCAAAGAACAGTTCTGGTTGTACGGGGGCATGGACTGGAGCAGCAGGAGGCTAGAGCCTAGCTTGCTAGCTTCTTTGTTTTCTTTGGCTAACTGTGGAGTTCCCTAAAAGTGAAAGATGCTGGAAGAAGAGTAGTTTTGAGAGATGTGATGTGAAGAAGGACTCAACCTGCTACTGCTGCTTCTGACAATGGAAGCAGAGGCCAAGAGCCAAGTAGTGCGGCAGCCTCTAGAAGCTTGAAACGGCCCTCAGCTTACAGTCAGCAGAATGACAGGGACCTCGGGCTCACAACCACAAGGAACTGCATTCCGCCAATAGCCCAAATGAACACAAAATATTTTCCCCTAGGCTCCAGAAAGGAACGCAGCCTGCTGACACCTTGATTATAGTCTGATGAGACTATACCAGTCTTTTGACCTACAGAACTATAAGATAATACATTTAGGTTGTTTTAAGTCACTAATTTTATGGTAATTTGCTCTGACAGAAATAGAAAACTAACACACAAGTCCAATTTTTAACATTTTAACCACATCCCTACCTTGTCCATTCCAGGCAAGTTTCTGGCAGTTCTGTTATTATTACAGAAAACACAGGTCCAGATGTATAAGATATAATCAATACATTAAGCATTAAAAAAATGGTAATATGCTAAATGACTTTAAATACTGTGCATAAAGTTAACTGTACCAGTATTTCTAGAAATTTGTCATACTTTCATTTGGGAATTATTTTGGTATTATTTTTCTGGATCAGGTACCAACCTCATTCTTTTTTCTTTTTTGGAGACAGAGTCTCACTCTGTTGCCCAGGCTGTAGTGCAATGGCATGATCTCAGCTCGCTGCAACTTCTGCCTCCTGGGTTCAAGTGATTCTTGTGCCCCAGCCTCCTGAGTGGCTGGGATTACAGGCATGAGCCACTACACCCGGCTAATTTTTGTAATTTTTGTATTTTTAGTAGAGACAGAGTTTTGCCATGTTGGCCAGGTTGGTCTGGAACTCCCAACCTCAGATGATCTGCCCGCCTGAGCCTCCCAAAGTGCTGGGATTATAGGCGTGAGCCACTGTGCCCGGTCCAACCTCATTCTTGTTTTAAAAACAACAGATTCCAGAGCCACCGGATGATCTCGGATTTTTAAGCCTTCCAAGGGTGTGAAAAGCATGTCCCTAAATCGAATCAAGAACTCTCCTTCAATACCTGGCTTTCATAGAGATACTCACTTATTAAGGTCAACTTCATAAGTCTGCATATGAGGTTTGTCTCCAGTCTTGTCTGGGTCCCATCGATAGATGGCAAATTTCTTGATACGGGGAGCTGCGGCTGCGGCTGTCTGGGCTCCTCGGGAGGCCTGAAATTTTTAAAAGTTCACAAAAAGGAAAAAAAAATTAGAAATGCAAGACAATTCCATTTTGCTGGCACAACAGATGTAATGCTGGATATAAACTCACACATTACTGATATATAATCTTCTGGGAAAAGGCAGTCATTCAATATCCAACAAGTATTAAGCACCTATCATATGCTAATATATCAGACATGGTATTAGGGGCTAGTGCTACAGCACTTAATAAAATACACAAAAACCTTCATTTTCACAGAACTTACTTTGTAGTGAACAAGAGTTAAGTTAAACATTCACAATGAATATAAAGACTAATACTGATGGGAAAGTACAGGGAGCTCTGGATGAATACAGCAGAGACTTCAATGAGTGTAAGAGTCAGAGAAGGCTTCCTCAAGCGACATCTAAGTGGTGGCTTGACAAACCAGTATTGAGGGGAAGGAGTGTGGGGTGTGGTCTGAGGGTGGAGGCTCATGCCTGTAATCTCAGCACTTTGGGAGGCAGAAGTGAGAGAATTGATTGAGCCCATGAGTTTGAGACCAGCCTGGGAAACAGGGCAAAATCCCATCTCTACAAAAAATAAAGATTAGCTGGGTGTGGTAGTGTGCGTCTCAGGAGGCAGAGGTGGGAGGACCGCTTGGGCCTGAGAGGTTGAGGCTGCAGAGAGCCATGATCATGCCAATGCACTCTAGCCTGGGCAACAGAGTGAGACTCTTTTTCAAAAATAAAAAATAAAAAAAAAGAAATAAGAAAGAAAGAAAGAAAAGACTATATTCCAGGCCTGCTAATTTTTAAAATAAACTGATATAGAAAAGTAAAAACTCGGAAGGTTAATTGACTAATTACAAAAAGATGCAGTGGTGTTTATTACTGAGGCAGGAGAAGACCGTTTGGAGACAGGAAGCCTTCACTACAGCCTCTGATTCGTCTCAGGCCAAGTCTTCATTTGCATAGGGTGTAACCAATAGGAAACCCCTACAGGGTACTTAAATCCCAGAGACTGTGCAGCTGGGGCTCTTGAGCCACTTGCTGGATCCCACTCCCACTCTGTGGAGTGTACTTTCATTTCAATACATCTATGCTTTTGTCTTCTGTTGCTTTGTGTGTTTTGTCCTATTCTTTGTTCAACATGCCAAGAACCTGGATGACCTATGGTCAAGACCCTCACCAGTAACATTATTTCTTGTTAAAGTTCCCGTATTAACTATAGCTAAAAATACAAACATCAGCTAACAGTAGAAAATAAAATATATGAAGGAAATGAAAGTTAAGATGAAAACGTTTTACCTTATCACCAAGCTGGCAAAAATCATCAACAAAAGGAAAGCCATTTCTACAAATGTTTTTCACCAGGAACCCCATTTTGTAAACTGACACGAACACCCAATGCCACCTTGTGGTAAGTGAGAAGAGGAAAGATTCCTAAAGGTATCAACTCCAGTGGTCTTTGCTTGCTTAATGTCCCATTTTTTTGGGTCTTTTTTCTGTGACATTTAATAAGGTATAATTCATTATAATAAAATTCACTAGTTTTAAGGGTATAATGTGATGAGTTTTGACAAAGCAATGTAATCCTACCACAATTACAACAGAATAATTCCATCCAAAAAGGTCTTTTGTGCCCTTAGTGGCAAACATAAGTCCCCTTTCCCTACTCTTAGCAACTGATCAGCTATCATCATGAATCTGCCTTTTACAGAATTCATATAAATGGTATCATATGGTATGTAGTCTTGTGTCTAGCTTCTTTCACTCAACATAATGCTTCTGAGATTCATATATGTTACTGCATATATCCATATTTAAATGCTTTTTTAAAAATTAACCTATTTATTTATTTATTTTTGGGATGGAGTTTCACTCTTGTTGCCCAGGCTGGAGAGCAATGGTGCGATCCTGGCTCACCGCAACCTCTGCCTCCCGGGTTCAAGCGATTCTCTTGCCTCAGTCTCCCGAGTAGCTGGGATTACAGGCGTGCGCTACCAGGCCCGGCTAATTTGTATTTTTAGTAGAGACGTGGTTTCTCTGCGTTGGTCAGGGTGGTCTCAAACTCCCAACCTCAGGTGATCCGTCTGCCTTGGCCTACCAAAGTGCTGGGATTACAGGTGTAAGCCACCGTGCTCGGCCAACCTTTCTACTTTTTAATAATTACAGATTCATATGCATTTACAGAAAATAATACTGAGGCCAGGTGCAGTGGCTCACACCTGTATCCCAGCACTTTGGGAGGCCAAGGCAGACAAATCACTTGAGGTCAGAAGTTCAAGACCAGCCTGGCCAACATGGTGAAAATCCATCTCTACTAAAGATACAAAAATTAGCCCGTTGTGGTGGCACACGGCTGTAATCCCAGCTACTTGGGAGGCAGAGGCACTTGACCCCGGGAGGCGGAGGTTGCAGTGAGCCAAGATTGTGCCACTGCACTCCAGCCTGGGCGACAGAGTGAGACCCTGTTTCAAAACAAAACAAAACAAAACAAAACAAAACAAAGAAAATAATACTGAGACTCCACATGCTCTTCCCACCTGTAATCTCAGCACTTTGGGAAGCTGAGGTTGGGGAATCACCTGAGGTCAGGAATTCAAGACCAGCCCAGCCAAAATGGTAAAACCCTATCCCTACTAAAAATACAAAAACAAATCAGACGGGTGTGGTGGTGTGCGCCTGTAATCCCAGCTACTTGGGAGGCTGAGGCAGGAGAATCCCTTGAACTTGGGAGGTAAAGGTTGCAGTGAGCTAAGATTGCGCCACTGTACACCACCCTGGGTAACAAAGCGAAACTCCATCTAAAAAAAAAACAAAAAAAAAGAGACAGGGTTTTGTTGTCATTGATTGTGCAGTGGCACGATTACAGCTCACTGCAGCCTCAACCTTCTGGACTCATGCGAACCTCCCATCTCAGCTTCCCCAGTAGCTAGGACTACAGGCATGCACCACGATGCCCAGTTAGTTTTTTTATGTTTATTTTTGTAGAGATGGGGGTCTCACTATGTTGCCTAGGCTGGTCTTGAACTCCTGGCCCCACATGATCCTCTGCCTGGCTCTCCCGAACAGTTGGGATACAGGCATGAGCTACCATGCCAGGACTCACATATTCTTTACCCAGTCTCCCCAACAGGAACATCTTGCAAACTGCAGCACATCACCACAACCAGAATACTGACCGTGCTAGTCAAGATACAGGACATTCCCATAAGCACAGGATCACTAACATTGCCCATTTATAGCCCTGTCCACTTCCTCCCACCCTCCCTCCCCTGTACTCCTTAAGCCCTAGCAAACACTAATCTGTTCTCTACTTCTCAAATTCTGTCATTTAAAGAATGCTGTATCAATATAATCATCTAGTATGTAGACTTTTGGCATTGGCTTTTTTCATTCAGCCTAATTCTCCGGAGATTCATCCAAGTTGCTGTGTACAGCAATAGCTTTTTTCTTGTTATGGCTGAGTAGCACTCCACGGTACAATGTACCACAGTTTGCTTAACCATATAACTACGTTGGTTGGGGGTGGGACATTGGGGGTGTTTCTAATTTTTGGTGACATGAATAAAGCTGAAATGAACACTTGTGTACAAATTTCTGTGTGAACGTTAAGCCTTCATTTCTCAGGATAAACACCCAGGTGTGTAACTGTTGGGCTGTATGGTAGCTACAAGTTTAGTTTTTTTTAAGCAACTGACAAAACTATTTTCCAGAGTGGGTGGCTGCTGTGCCTGAGGCAGGTAGTAGGGTAAATGGGACAATAAGCCTTTTAAAAAATGGGGCTACTTCAAGTTTTTGCCTTCTAATTTGGATTTTATTTTTCATTTAAAAAAAAATATTTATTTATTTATTTTAGACGGGGTCTCACTTTTGTCCCCCAGGCTGGAGTGCAATGGCGCAATCTTGGCCCACTGCAACCTCCACCTCCCGGCTTCAAGCAATTCTTCTGCCTCAGCCTCCTAAGTAGCTGGGACTACAGGTGCCTGCCACCATGCCCAGCTAATTTTTATATTTTTAGTACAGACAGGGTTTCACCATATTGGCCAGGCTGGTCCTGAACTCCTGACCTCAGGTGATCTGCCCGCTTTGGTCTCCCAAAGTGCTGTGATTACAGGTGGCAGCCACTGTGCCAGGCCTTTATTTTTTATTTTTATAGACTTATGGTCTAGCTCTATTGCCCAAGCTGGAGATCATGGCTCACTGCAGCCTTAAACTCCTGGGCTCAGGTGATCATCCTGACTCAGCTTCCCAAGTAGCTGGGACCATAGGTGCACACCATCATGTCTAGCTAATTTTTGTAGAGACAGGGTCTTGCCATGTTGCCTAAGCTGGTATGGAACTCCTGGGCTTAAGCAATCCTTCCACCTCAGCCTCCCAAAATGTTGGGATTACAGGCATGTGCCACCATGTCTGGCTAATTTTTGTATTTTTAGTAGAGACAGGATTTCGCCATTTGGCCAGGCTGGTCTCGAACTCCTGGCCTCAAGTGATCCACCTGCTTCATCGTTCCAAAGTGTTGGGATTACAGGCACGAACAACCAGCCCAGCCCCCAACCTGGCTTTAAACAGAATCTGGGACTGAAGTATAACCCCCCAGTTCTTTTTTTTCTTTTCGTGAGACGGAGTCTCACTCTGTCGCTCAGGCTGGAGTGCAGTGGCGAGATCTCAGCTCACTGCAACCTCTGCCTCCTGGGTTCAAGCGATTCTCCTGCCTCAGCCTCCTGAGTAGCTGGGATTACAGACGCGTGCCACCATGCTGGGCTAATTTTTTTGTATTTTTAGTAGAGATGGGGTTTCACCATTTTAGCTAGGTTGGTCTTGAACTCCTGACATCGTGATCCAACTGCCTCAGCCTTCCAAAGTGCTGGGATTACAGGCGTGAGCCACCATACCCGGCACAACCCCCTAGTTCTAAAGCCTGATTTAGTATTGTCAGTGGGCAACAGGCATTAGGCTCTATCAAGCTGGGTGTCAGTCCCACAAGGTCTGTGGGATGACTGTGGTTACCTGCAATGTTTTCCCTTCAACATTTCTTTATAATACTTCAATATCTGCTTCATGTTCACTCTACACAGATGATCGATCGTGTATTATCTTTCCAAAAGAGATTAAGTTTGTATTAGAGCTAATTTAAATTTTTAAGAAGTCTTATCATATGAATGATATGAAATAAGAGCAATGCCAGGATGTACTACACTGAATATCTAAGTCAATGTATCCCAACATCAGTTTTGGTGTCATTTTTTTTCAGTACAACTAATTTAAATTTGTTTTGTGTCAAAAATGTATTTTATAGGCCAGGCGTGGTGGCTCATGCCTGTAATCCCAGCACTTTGGGAGGCTGAGGCGGGTGGATTACCTGAGGTCAGCAGTTCAACCAGCCTGGCCAACATGGTGAAACCCCATCTCTACTAAAAATACAAAAAAATTAGCCAGATGTGGTGGCGGGCACCTGCAATCCCAGCTACTCAGGAGGCCGAGGCAGGAGAATTGCTTGAATCCAGGAGGCGGAGGTTATGGTAAGCCAAGATCGCACCACTGCACTCCAGCCTGGGCAACTGGGTAACAAGAGCTAAACTCCGTCTAAAAAAAAAAAAAAAAAAAAGTATTTCATACAACATTTTGTGGGGCAAAGGGGGTTTACCGGAATGAAAGAAGATTCTGAAATCAAAATCAGCAGAGGTGGTCATGGTTCTGAAAGTGATGGAGCTTTGCTCATCTTGAGGTCTGTACAAAGAGTTAATTCTCAGGATTATGTTATCTGTGATCCATCAAAAAATTCGCTGAATACATAAATCTAAAAATTTGCCACATTTCATTCATTGAACCTTTATGTCACACACTGTGTCAAATAATCTCTAATCTTTATAACATTTCTATGAAAAATGTTATATTGTTCCCAGTTAAAAGATGAGGATAGGATCATATAGGAACACAGGTCACTTGATTCAAAAACCGAAGCTTTTAGCCATTATAACTAGTAGTGAAAATGCAAACATAAAATGGAACAGTGCAAAAAGATAATTCCATTTCACAATGAGATCCAAGGAATAAGAGAAGTTGTTACTCTAATCATACAATGAGACTATATGATTTTCTCCCCTTTGGAGCAATTTATACTACAAATCCTTAATGAAAGAGGGCCCCTTGAAAGCATTTTTATGTTAATCTACAAGACTAATGAGTATTCAAGGCAGAAAGTACATTCCTAGGAAATCCTGGGTAATATGAACTTCATAGTTTATAATTTAAGCAAGGTAAGCAACAACTGAACTGAGAAGGGTGAATTCTGAATGGTGCTGAAGGCTGGTTGTTGTTTCTCTAGTAAAGTGTCCTTAGGGTGCAGGCTTGGAGTTGGATGGAGTGGAGAAAGATTTGGAGGCCAGAGAAGAAGGTGGGAAATGGAGAGGAAGAAGGCAAAAAGGACTGTATGAAGATAAGCCTGAGTAAAATACAAGGTGCAGGCTTGCTGAAAAGTGTGATTGGTGATGCTTCAAATCCAAGCTCTATCACTTACTAGCTGTGCATTCTTCTGCAAATTATTAACTTTTATGATTCTATTTCTTCCTTTGTAAAGGGTGGGTAGTATTAATAACTGCCTCATAAGATAACCGGGGGGGTCAAACTTCTAGCATAGCCCAGAAAATAATTTTTGCTCTACACGATTGGTAACCTTATCAGTCTTTGTATCCTTCTGATTTGTAGATAGGTATCCTAGTTCTGCCAGCCTAAGGAACAAGATACACATTAAAAAAAATTTTTTTTTTGAGACTGAGTTTCGCTCTTATCACCCAGGGTGGAGTGCAAAGGTGCCATCTCGGCTCACTGCATCCCTCCGCCTGCCAGGTTCAAGCGATTCTCCTGCCTCAGCCTCCTGTGTAGCTGGGATTATAGGAGCCCACCACCAAGCCCAGCTAATTTTTGTATATATATATATATATTTTTTAGTAAAGACAGGGTTTCACCATGTTGGCTGGGCTGGTCTCGAAATCCTGACCTCAGGTGATCCACCTGCCTTGGCCTCTCAAAGTGTTGGGATTACAGGCATGAGCCACTGCACCTGGCAAGATGCACACTTTTAAGTAGGTGGTTCTCGCCCTAAAGGAGTTCATAGTCCAGATGAAGAAATAAGGCAACACAAACAATAGTTAATATATTACAGTTAAATACTTAAAGGCAGAATTGTGGTTCAGTGGTCAGACTATGCATAAAAATAATTCAGAACCTGAACTTGAATGTTACCCACACCAAGCTCATTACTGAATTCTTTTGAGGTGGCTTTTGTGGGTATAAATGTACATTCCCACAAGGAAGTGGAGGCCTTGGGGCTCTTCTATTTTCTGTTGCCCTCAGGAGGCCCTGCAAAGGCCTTGCCTGGAATTACAACAATGACCTATGAAACTAGCCGTTTCTACAATTCATTGCTAGAAGAGGGGCCTGAGCTTTAGAACTCTCTCTCATTAGTGGGGCTCTCACAATTTGTTTGCTCAGCAACTATAAAAAGAACAGGTAAACAAGCTCATTATCAATCATCAATTTAATACTCATAAGATGTCAGCTGAAGCTCTGGTAGGCTGTCTTCTTCCTCTATCTCCCCTTTTCAGAAAGGTTGATGCAGAGTGGATGCAAGTTCACACACAGCATACTGGACAGAACTAGGATTAGAACATGGGCAATACGTACTGTGTTATGCAGCCATGGCAGGTACTTAAGATGAAAGATGTCCTCATTTAAGTGCAAGAGAGGAAGAGGAACTAAAATTTCTTGGACACCAACCACGTCCCAAGATCTACGCTAAGGAGTTTTTCCGGTACTATGTTAAAAAACTGTCTCAGGTCTGCCAGTTCTTGGGAATGTGGTATTTTGAGCAAGCCAAATATTTTCTTTCTGGGGACCTCAAGTTTTCAAAGCTCCAAAAAGGAGGGTAAGAATTCTTACTTGCCCACCTTAAAGGGGTTGTTGAGAAGCCCAGAAGAGGTACAGACTTAGAAAGGATTTGCAAATCCTTGGTCCTTTATGTATACAAAAGCAATTTCCCTTCCCCTTCTAAATGTTCCCACTTAGAAGGCAGGTCAGAAATGTGTCGTTTCTTGGCCATAGAAGGGGCGTGGGAAAATCTGTCACAGCACATTGCATAGTTATAAACAAGAACAGCGCCAAGCTCTCTACCTGTCATTCCATGTCAACTCTATGAGGTCCGTATTATTACATGCCCTTTAGAGTCAGAAACACTGAGAGGATATTAGCGAAACTGTGGTGACATTGCTTTAAGGAACCCAGTCTTTCCTACAACCCCCGCCACCCACGGCCGGGATCCTTCGAGGTAAGGGGCTGGATGCATTTCCCTCCATCTCTCCCTTCCCCTGCCCTGTCCCCAATTCACACGTCCTTTCCTCACCAATCCCGGTCCTCAACCTCGTACCCTAGAGGAATGACCTCGCTTCCCAATTCCCATCCGTCATACCCCGCAGGTCTCCCTTTTCTACAGAGGCGATAGTTTGGTGGCAGAAAAAGGGCTGGAACTCCAATGTTTGGATTCGGATTCTGGTTTCTGCAGTCATTCGCTTGCCATCTGACCTTGAGTAATTCCAGTCCCCTTTCTGAACTCCCCCCGCAACCTTAGCTGTAAAAAATTGCCCCTGCCCTAACTCAGGCTGCGGCGAGGCGCAGAAAGAAAACTGACAGGGATGCTCCAAGCCAAACCAAAGCACTGCGCCAGTGGGAGGAGGTCCTACCTCTCCCTGAGGCCTTGCCCTATGCTTCCTTAGTCTCTCCACGGGCCCATCAGCTCCAGGCAGTCTCCGTGACTTTCCTGCCTTTTCCCTCTCTGAGACTCCAGGACTCACCTGCAGGCAGGCTCCGCCAAGTGTTGTGGCCGGTAACCGGCCCCTCAAGGAGAGTGCGACCACCGCCGCCATCTTGGCTCTTGACGTCAGCCCCACCCCTTAACCCCAAGGTCTCTCTCCGCCGATGTCCCGTCGAACATCGCGGCGCCCAGCCTGCATCCACTGACGACCCGCTAGCCGCGTAGGAGCCACCGAGTGGGAGGCGGCTTCCGGTTTCCCGAGTGGGCGGAGGGAAGGCGGGGCAAGTTACAGCGAGCAGTCACAGCGAGCGTGCGCAGTAGCGCAGTAGCGCAGTAGCGGCGCATGCCCATTTGGTGTCCCCCAAGGTGACCTTCTCAGAAAGGGGCGGAGTCTGAGAGGCAGGGCAACTTTCAGGGGGTGGGGCTAAGACTTAGATGGGGCGGAGCCATCCTACCCCGGTCCCTGCCCCGATTTTAACCCCTTTTTTCCTGGAATTTTTGTTTGTTTGAGACGGAGTCTCGCACTGTCTCCCGGGCTGGAGTGCAATGGCGCGATCTTGGCTCACTGCAACCTCCGCCTCCCGGGTTCACGCGATTCTCCTGCCTCAGCCTCTCGAGTAGCTGGAATTACAGGCGCACACCACCACATCCGGTTCATTTTTTGTATTTTTAGTAGAGACGAGGTTTCACCATCTTGGCCAGACTGGTCTTGAACTCCTGACCTCGTGATCTGTCCACCTCGGCCTCCCAAAGTGCTGGGATTACACGCGTGAGCTACCGTGCCCAGCCAATTTTCTTTCTTTCTTTTCTTTTCTTTTTGACAGGGTCTCACTCTGTTGCCCAGGCCGGTGCAGTCTTGGCTCACTGCAGCCTCGACCTCCCAGGCTCAAGCGATCCTCCCGCCTCAGTCTCCCGAGTAGCTGGGACTACAGGTGCGTGAGCCACCATACCCAGGTAATTTTTTTTTTTTTTTTTTTTTGAGACGGAGTCTCGCTCTGTCGCCCAGGCTGGAGTGCAGTTGCGCGATCTGCAACCTCCGCCTCCCGGGTTCAAGCAATTCCCTGCCTCAGCCTCCCGAGTAGCTGGGATTACAGGCGTCCGCCATCATGCCCGGCTAATTTTTTTGTGTTTTTAGTAGAGACGGGGTTTCACCATCTTGGCCAGGCTGGTCTTGAACTTCTGACTTCGTGATCCACCCACCTCGGCCTCCTAAAGTATTGGGATTGCAGGCGTGAGCCACCACGCCCGGTCGCCCGGGTAATTTTTTTTAAAAGATTGCTTGTAGAGATGGAGTCTCGCTGTGTTGCCCAGGCTGGTCTTGAGCTCCTGGGCTCAAGCAATCATCCTGCTTCGACTTCCCAAAGTGCTGAGATTACAGGGATCAGCCACCGCGCCTGGCCTTTCTAAGAATTTGTGAGTCTTATTGCTCATCTCTGACGCTTACTGGCTTGAGTCAGGCAGTTCTGTCGCACATTGTGCAGCTTGCCGGAGGCTGCCTAGGTTTCCTCACTGAGTGTCCCAGACAAACTGGGCAGTTGGTGAATGAGCTGAGGTGATTTCAAGGGTGGCTGGCAAAGGTGCCATTCTTTTGTTCATTCATTCATTCATTCATTCATTCATTCATACATACATTCATTCATTCATATATACGAATGGAGTGGCTACTATGTGGCAGGCACCAAGTGCTGGGATGCTACAGGGAATGAGCAAGTCAGGTGGTCACTGCTCATCGAATTTACTCTCTGGTGGTGGAGATGGGCAAGTGAGCTGACAGCTAGACACTGTGAGCTCTGTTCTGTAAGAGAGGGTGTGCCCAGAGAAGGACACCCAGTCCTTGGTGGCTTTGTTAGCCATTTAATATAAGAAACCATTTCTACTCTGCGCCAAACATTATGGTTCATTATCCCACTTGATCCCCACAGCAGTCCTGTGAAGAAGGGTTTCTGATTTTGTTTTTTCTGAGTTTCCATTTTAGTCATCTCAGCTGCTTTTTTCAGCCCCCTCCATGGATCTGCTCAGAGCTGGCCTCACTCTTGGGACTTACCTTGGGCAGGAACCGCCTGGGGCCTCCAAGGCACCTGCCTCTTCCGTCACCCCAGGCGTTTGTGTAGATTGTTAACCTTGCAGGTCCCAAGGTTTCCCAGGAGTGATTTTTTTTTCCCCTTTCTGCCTGCTTATTTTTGACATGTGACATTCTATAGTCTTTGGTTTCCACTCTCACAGCTGATGTGGATGCTACTGGAGACACTGAGATGGCCAGGTGAATTGGCTGGATGAGCTAAGTTTCTGGAGTCCTTGACTGGAACCCTGCTATACTGCCCGTGTGGCCTCATTAAAGGGAGTGTGTAGTGAGGCCTGAACCTCTAGGTCTAACCTGGAATCTTCAAGGCCGTATGACCTTGGCTAAGCCCCTCCCCACGTTTGACCTATAGTTTCCTTGCCTGAACCATTAGGGTGTTGAGCCCTCTGATTTAAGATGCTGTGATTCACGTGGCTGTCTTGTGGATAACTGGTAACAATGCTGAGTCACCTTGACTTTCACTGGCACTGACCCAGGACTGAAACAGGGCCCCTCTGGTCTGCCCCATGGGGCCTCTTGGGTCACCCAAACTGGCTGAAATATGGGAAGACTGCCACTCTCTCTCTAACTCCCAACTGAATTGTCATCTGAGCTGAAGAAAACTCTTCCTGCAAGGAATGTATTTCTAGAGAATTGGTCCTCTTAGCATTTTCAGGGTTCTTTCATCTCAAAGGCAGATGCACCTCTAGATAAGTAACTACCCTTTTAGTTTGCCCAGGTCACCTTGGAAAAAGCAATCTGAGGCCAGCATAAGTGAGACCTTGATTTATGGAGGGACTCTTGGTGCCAATGGGCCCACATGCCCTGCAGTCACATCATTCCTGGGCTTCGTGGGGATTTGGGGAGCTCAAAGTTATGGAGGAATAAATTCCTGGGCGGCTGTACCTCCGCCCTGGACTTTGGGATTCCAGAAAGTCACAGCTGCAGAAGGACTTAGAGATTTTCATGGCCTGCTCCTGACATATTTTCCCAAGGTGTCCTCATGATAAGACCCTCGGTTTTTTTGGTTTATTTCCATTCATCTAGAGAGTGACATACTGCTTTTCACCAGACAGTCTGCTAGGCACTATGTTTATACTGAACTTTATCACTTACAACGGTGTTTACATAAACAGTCTCATTTAGTCCTCATAACAACACTTTTGGGTTGGAAAAGCTGCCCCTATTTTCCAGACTTTCTCAGTCTTTGGACAGCAGGAAAACTGAGCAGCCTTAGGTGAGCATTTTGCTTTAGGAGGTCTTTCTCCCCCAAGAGCTGGAAATCACGTCCGGAACTGAAAATTAAAACCAGCATGGCAAGGTGGCTCATACCTGTAATCCCAACACTTTGGGAGCTCAGGTGGGAGGATCGATCCTTTGAGTCCCAGAGTCTGAGACCAGTCTGGGCAACATGGCGACACCCTGTCTCTACAAAAAAATTTAAAATTAGCCAAGCGTGGTGGTGCACACCTATAGTCCCAGCTACTTGGGAGGCTGAAGTGGGAGGATTGCTTGAGTGCAGGAGGTCGAGGCTGCAGTGAGCTGCGATCACACCACTGCAACTCCAGCCTGGGCAACAGAGCAAGAGCCTGTCTCAAAAAAATGAAAATAAAAAACAAAATAGAAAAGCATTATGTTGTATCAACTGTCATTTGTGCAATCAATTGTAGTCTGGTGTCTTGTAATTTAGGGCAACCTGGATGATTTCCCCCAGCCAGAGGGTGAAGCAGGGTTGGATTTAGGAGGAAATGTCAGATGTTGCTTGGGAGATTCATTTGCCTCTGGGAAAAACCCACTTCGCAGCAATAGATTGATGTGGTGGGGCTCTGGGGCCTTCCATCTAAAATTTAGGATTCCTTTTTTTTTTTTTTTTGAGACGGAGTCTCGCTCAGTTGCCCAGGCTGGAGAGCAGTGGCACGATCTTGGCTAACTGCAAGCTCTGCCTCCCGGGTTCACACCATTCTCCTGCCTCAGCCTCCCGAGTAGCTGGGACTGCAGGTGCCTGCCACCACGCCCGGCTAAGTTTTGTATTTTGTTTAGTAGAGATGGAGTTTCACCGTGTTAACCAGGATGGTCTCCATCTCCTGACCTCGTGATCCGCCTGCCTCGGCCTCCCAAAGTGCTGGGATTACAGGCGTGAGCCACTGCGCCTGGCCAAAATTTAGGATTTTATTTGCATTTGGCCAGTGGGCCTCGTCCTTTCTGTCTCTCTGGCTGTCTCCTGAGCATCTCCATCTGGGTGTCCCAATGGTCCTTTAAACCCAACCTATCTCAAACGGTACATCTCACCTGAGGAGTTTATACTTCTCTTATTAGCACCACCATCTACCTGATATCCAAGCCAGAAACTCGATGTCATCTTGGTTCTTCTCCCCGCCCCACATCCAACCAACTCCCACCATAGCCTCCAAGGCTCCAGGCTCCCCTGCTCCCCTGTGGGCCCTTCGAGTTGCTTCTGTTCCTGTAATACAACCTGCTCTGTTCCCCACCTCATTCCCCACCTCCATGCCTTTGCGTATGTCTGTGTCTTGGATTTGGAGTCTCCTTTCCTCCTCCTTCATGTGGCAGACTTGTCATCATTGAAGACTCAGCTCCAACTTTTTCCTCCCTTAGGAAGTCCCTCCTTGACTGTCCCTATCAAAGTATCCTCTGCATATGCCATCCATGACGCAATATCTGCTTTAACAATGGCCCATTCATATGTCTGCCTCCCCAGACTGTGGGCAATTTGAGGGCTTGACCCACTTAACTCTCTTTGATTTTCTCCATATAACTTATTGCTATCTGCAAGTTTGTTTTTAATTATTTTTTTTTTGAAACAGAGTCTTGCTTTGTCACCCAGGTTTAAGTGCTGTGGCGTGATCATGGCTCACTGTAGTTTCGAACTCCAGTGCTTAAGTGATCCTCCCACCTCAGCCTCCCTGGTAGCTGGGACCACAGGCATGCACTACCATGCACAGCTACTTTAAAAAAAATTTTTGTAGGCCGGGCACGGTGGCTCACGCCTGTGATCCCAGCACTCTGGGAGGCCAAGTCAGGTGGATCACTTGAGGTCAGGAGTTCAAGACCAGCCTAGCCAACATGGTGAAACCTGTCTCTACTGAAAATACAAAAATTAGCCAGGTGTGGTGGTGGGCACCTGTGATCCCAGCTACTCGAGAGGCTGAGGCAAGAGAGTTGCTTGAACC